CTCAACAAGCATCTTCAGAGCATCAGTATCAATTCCAAGATGTCGGGCCCCTGCCATCACAGTTTTTAAGGGTAAAGTCACCTGAACGAAATTTGCTGAACCATCATTGACTCTTACAAATGTTAAAAACATTATATAGGCTACACTAATGTGATGTCTAGGCAGTTCATTTAACTATTATACGTGTACGTTTTTTGGGGGGTGGTTAATGAAGGTGTTCCAAAATGCGACATTAATTTTTTGACTACTTAATATGTACTAACAAAGTAATGAGCATATGCTCTTGATATTTAAGAATCTTAAGTATGATTATACATTTTTTTGAATCCCATGTGTTTGAGCTCCTGCTGTCAAAATTGCAACATTGGAAAATATTTGTAATTGTATGTATTAAGGGAAAATTGTATTTAATACAATATATTTCTATAAATTCAGATTTTTGAGTCACTAGAATGTATACATATAGGTTTTAAAAGAAATTGTTTACACTGAAACAATCTTAGACATAATATGAATATTCTTTGTTTTTAAAACTGAAATGGTATCTATTTTATAACTAGAAACATGCATGCCCAGTGGACCCCCAAGTTCAAGCAGAGTTACAGCGACGTCATTCACTTCATGTTCAACAGATGTTTTTGCTGCAAGCTTCTCTCAGCCAAACTTCCACATCATCACCTCCTTCAATCTCTGGTTCTCCCATTCACAAGTCCCCTTCCAGTGGGCCCACCTCTCCTGTGTCTCTGACACAGCACTTTCAACGACTCCAGCTTCAGCGTCGAGGAAGTCCTGTGGGATTTGGCACACATGAAAGTACCTTCTCAGCATTCCAAGTTTTTGGCACTCCTCCACGTGCTAGTTCACCACCAGTGTGTGTGTCTTTGGGTGGAGTGTCTCCACCATATAACAGAGTCACAGGAATGAATTCACCACAACAAAGAGTATCTCCTCCACCATCTTTTCCAGATTCCCCTACAAATTTACCAACAATTTTTCCTCGCCTTCAAGGTCTTGTGGGACAACCTCATCGTAACATTTCCCCAACCACTTTTCAGAACCTGTGCATGATTCAAGAAGATGCTACTGAGCAATGTCAATCTTCATCCTCAAACTCCAAGCAAGCTGGTAAATTAGAGAGAGATAACCAAGAACAGATCACAGAAACTATTTCTTCACCCATCAACACCTATCCTCAGATAAGTGTGACAGATGAAACAGGAGAAATTCAGGTATCTTCTGATATTTTGGAAAACCTTGACTACAGTGAGTTTGAATTACCTTACAGAGCTTCTGATACTCCACTACAAGACATGGGCCAGATAAGATTGTTTGAGACATCTTCAGGATACGAAGAATGTATAACCTCCATCCAGATTCCCTCATTTTCAGATACTAGTGGCTTTGTGGAGGAACAACTTCAAAAATCTCCAACAAAAAATTTACCAAGGTGGCTACCTATTCACAGCACACGTGAATCATACAAAAATTCAGAACACCTAAGACAGACTTTTCCTCCTGCAGGACATGGAAGCACAGATCATGATGAAAATTACTTACATTTTGGGAACAAGAGCTCTCAGAGTGAACCAAGTCCAGTGTCTGGCAACTTATTCTCAAGTCATTTAACTTGTAATTTGCAAGCTAATTCTGAGCTTCAGAAGACAGCTAGTGGAAGTTTGTGCATTGCTATCACCACTAGTGCTGTTCCTGAATCAACTTGTTGCTCAGATTTGTTACATGAGATCCAGCAGCGACTTGATACCAGAGCCCAGGGCCTTTCACTAATGTTGCAGCCATCAGAGCGTGTTTTAGCCTTGGAGCACCCAGCTGGTGTTCAAATAGAACTTGAAGTCTGTGATGGACCAAGACCTTCAGAACGAGGACTCAAAATGAGGCGTATATCTGGAGATAGCTTACAGTATAATCAGATATGCAGAGAACTCATTGCCTGCATGAACATCTGAGAATTGCATTCTTTGAAAAGTCTTGCCTTAGTCCCAGTTTTGTATAGAAGCCTGATGTGCCTAAGAAAAGTTAAAGAAAAGCAGCTTCGAAAGCTTCAGGGTTGTCATATGTAAAAATTTGTCATGCCTTCTTTGGTTCATGATTGATGGTTAAAGGTTATCAGGCTTATTCACGTTATCAGCTCTTCATTCCTTTCAGTAGTCAGTGAAAAAGTGATTGTTTACTATGCTGGCCAGCTGGAGAAATTGTTTTTTTTTAATGATCTGCACTTCATTGATCAACATTTGTTTAATGGCCTGAATTTGTATCGATATATGTACATTTATCTATTCATGGAGTGAATGGAACTAGGCATTTTCTAGCACTCAGTTTGATAACATTACCAGGTGATAAAATAAACACTGGTAAATATGTAGCATCGGTGTATACATAATATGTAAAGTTATTTTTTTAATTCTTAGCCACTTGCAGTCTACTGCGAAACATTTCCCTCCTGGTATAATTTCAATCTATCCTGAGCTTTTCCAATATTTCTTCAAGCTTGATGTCCCATATATTCTACAATATCAACTCTCCATTTTCTTTTTTTCCTATTCTTATTTGCTACTGTGTTATCCTCTTTGTACTTCTGTTATCACCTCTTTTTGATAGATATCCAGTGCACTCCCATTTTTGTTCTTTTATTGTTTTAATATGTATAACATTTGAATTATTTTTTCTTATATTTGGATGCCTATCATTAGTCTTTCTGTTGCTTGTTGCATTGTTTTTAGTAGTAGCCCATGTTTCTGATCCATATAACATTGCTGGTAGCATGTAGATGTTCAACAATTTCAAAGATACAGATACATTTATTCTTGGGTTGTTCTCCATTTTAAGGATGTTACCTACTAGCTATATTCATTAACCTGAATTTTTGTTTTATTTTGTTTTTTTCTCTGTTTATGTTCAGTCTGATGCTGAAACTTTCCGAGTTTAACCTGTTGAGTTGATCCTCTGCATCTTTAACACTTCCTGTCTTGAGATGTTACAACATCTGCAAATCTCAAAAATCCTGTATTTTCTGGGCTTTCAGAATATATTCTAGAGCTGTTGTAAGAAGTTTGAGTGACATAAGATCTCCTTGTCTAAAACCTATTTATATTTTTACTGTCTCAGACACATTGTTGTCTATGTATTCTGACTGTTGTAATGATATATATAGCCTTCAGGATCTGAGTATATCCTTCTGTGATGCTTATTGTCCTTAGTGCAACAAAAATGGCTTTATGTTCAATGGAGTCAAGAGCCTTCTTGAAGTCTATAAAACAAGGCAGTAGCTTAGTTGATATTAATTTGCTTTATGAATTAGTTGGTTAATGGCTTGTAAATAATCATTTATGGAGTATTCTTTTCTAAATTAAGCTTGTTGTTTAGGTTGAACTCAAGCTTGTAGAACTTTTGTAAAAAGGTTGTAAGAAGGTTACCTACCTAATTCAGAACTAAAAATATACCACTAATTAGTATAACCAATTAAATATACTGTGCAAACTATCTTACATACAATTATTAGAAGGCATTGTTTCATCATCTGGTTACTCCCGCAGTTACTGATAGTTTGGGTTGTCAGTTTTTATAATTTCTTTGTCTCCTCCTTTTTATAAGATAGTTCTCTTTTTGCTTCTTTCCTTGTGGAAATTATTCTCTTTTCTTCCAATCTTCTGTTAAAAAGAGTGTAAACTGTAATGATTTCTTGTCCTTCCTGTCTCACTATCTTGCTAGTAATTTCATGTAATCCTGAGGCCTTTTTTTCATTTTCGTTCAAAACCTTTCTACCTTTTGAGGTAAAATGTCTTGTATTTCTTTATCATATTCCAGTTTCACGTCTGTTCTTTCTGTCTCAAATCTTTGTTGAGCTTTACAATCTCTGGTGTAAGCTGATACAGATGTCTAGTCTGTCAGCAGTTGATCTTTTGTTTCATCCATCAGACTGTTTATGGTTTTAGGTCCTCTCCCTTTTTCAAATATTTTCTCTGTAAGCAATTCCTCTGTCACTGTTTTTTTTTATCTGGCTAGCATCCTGCTCTTGTTGTTAGGTCTTTGACTTTTGTTTTTCTCAGTTCATTCCCTCTTTCATCTAGTTTGTTTATGATTTTGTCTGAAATTCATTTTCTTTTCCACAATTTGCTATTTTTCTTGCATCACAGTTTGTCAGTTTTTCATTCCATTCTTCACTATTACATGTTAAGAACTCATAATCTGTTTTTTAATCCTGTATTAAAAGTTTCATGTTCCTGTTTTAATTTTTATATATTTATTTTTTGCTTCCTTGAAATTATCTTCAATCATGCAAGTTGATTTGTAGCACCACATGCCCCATTCTGTGATCATTTGGAATGTCCACTTTTGTGATGGCTTCATAGTTTTTAATAATTACCCTTTGATCACATAGAATAAAGTCTATTATATGTAAAGTTAGTCAAATATTATTAGACAAAAAAATGTACTTCCAGTGGTGTAGATTGTTATGTAGAAATGGTTTGTACTGTTTGTTCCTAAGTGTGTGAAAATCACAATAGTTCTTCATCTCCCTTATAAATGGTTTTGTATTTGAGCTTTTTTTGCAGATTTGTACAGAAGAATAACTGTGGAATTCTCATTAACATCATTCTGAATTGTTGTTGATTGATGGAATTGCTCAAGAGAAACTAGATCAGATAGATATTGTGATGAGTGGAGTTCAAAGCTTTGGTACCATATTATATCTTTTGCAAGTATTCTAGTCTATTTTCATATTCCTGGTACTTATTTTTTCCATTAATGTGAAATGATCCTATGAATATTATCTGATAAAACTGTTAACATAGCTTTCTTTATTATTATAGGTTGTGCATGTAAAATATTTGTATCCTGAAAATTCTCATTATAATTATAATATGCTGAGATAATCTAAAAATATGTAAGACACATCAAAAATAGTTCTGCTTTTGTCAACTGACTTATTCTGTGTATACTAGCTTGTGAAT